AAGACCTTTAAAGACCTTTTTAAGATCTGCACTTCACATTTCAGCCTTTAAACAATTTTTTAGGAAAAGGGATGAGTCAAAAGTATCAATTATTATATTAATTTAAACAATTATTATCAATTAATTATTATATTAAATAACATATAAATATATCTTAGTGTCTTAATTGTTTAGATTATAATGCATTAGCTTTTTGTCGATCCGCTGGTTCACATTTAAAAAATATGTAGCAAACATAGCAGATGGGCTAATTGAAAAAGCAAATTCATTCTCTGCCAGCAGGTTTCACTTTCGAAACTGCAGAAATATAACGTTAGTGGTTTCCCCGGTAACCGCAGTACACAAAGCTGACGTGCAGCTTGAGGCAAGAGCAACTCTGGCGTCCCCGTTGTTTGTGAGCAGTGGTGTGATGGCGATTTAAATAAAATACAGATTTCCAAACAATCCAAACATATGGGTATCCCCTTGAACTTGGTAAAAAGATCATCTGTTTACCATTTTGACTGGAAAATACTGTTTTCATGGTCAGCTTTTCATTTATTATTTGCTAATGTTAGTGAATGTTTACATTAGAGTGCACGTCCTACTACGCTGAAATTAATACGGGAGCGGCTGGAAACTAGCGACCTCTCCTGGTTGGATATAGTATTAACATCATAAACTGAAAGCAATCTTTACGTGACTTGCTTTTCAAATGTTTTAAAATTGATCATCTGACCGAGTCTAATATGATCCAGAGGGCCGTACTAAAAGACACTGCGGGTCCATCCCTGTTCTACACTAATACACACTCGAGTCAAATATGAGTTCTTACTGGAAAAGGAGGAAAGGGCAAACCAATCTTTAACTCACCTTTCCTCCCAAAACAGTAAATTGTAGAGCTCAATCTGAAAAGCCTTAAAAGTGTGTTTTTATTTATTTCCCATTAGAAATCAAACGTTTTGGAGTGTTTTTCTTGTAAAACAAGTAAATTGCACAAGAGAGCAGTGTTGTGCAGGGTGTAATATCACATATTGTCAATATATTAAATAATAAAAAATAATACTATATAATATGTGCAAAAAATATTAAGACTGTTTAAAATATAATGTATAATGTTATGTAATGTATAATGTTATAAATTATATATTTTAATAATAATTATGCCAAAGTGTTCCATGTGTTCTTGATTTCCTGATTTTTCTCCAAAGTGAGAAATAAATCAATGAAAATATGTGACAGTAAGTCGGTTGAGATGTTAAACGAATCGCGATTAAATTAAAGGTGGGGTTTATATGAATGCATCTCTGAGTTGAACTGGCTGCCTTCACAAAAGTTTTGACTCTGTATAATGCATACTGAAGTAGCTTCATTAGCAGCCCTTTGTTTACAGCTGTAACCCAGGAAACGCTGTATCGCTGCTGTTCCATAAGCGCTTCCTGCTGTCAGAGAGTGAATTTGCATTCTTCTTCAGCCCATCTGCTTATGTAGCATAAATTGCACACAGCTAAAGTCAGACCATTCTGTTTTTGTTTCAAATGCATTTTATATACAAGGTGCATTTTCTGCTGTAAAATGTGGACACGCTGATTTTTCTAAAAAAAAAAAAAAAAAAAAGCCCCACCTCCTGCATGGAAATAACGTCTGGAACTCCGCTTTAAGTCAAATATCTGACCTGTGAACTCTGGGCAGATCGAGCAACCCCGACCATCATTTGACGTCACTGCTTCCAAAGAGAGTGTGGACATTAAGTTTATAAAATGATACCTTAATTTTAGCTTTTCGTCAGCTGTTTTCAAAACGAAAGGCAGCATTTTATGTAAATTTTTTTTTTTTCTGTTTCAAAATTAGTTTTGCAGTCAGGACAAATTCTGCATCCATAAAAAGGTTAAACAATCCAAAAATCCCTTGCATCACAGGAATAAATTACATTTTAAAGTATATTAAAATAGAAAACAGTTATTAAATTGTAATATTATTTCACAATATTACAGTTTTTTTGTATTTTTGATCACATAAATGAACATAAGAGACTTCTTAAAAAAAACAAACATTTTACTGATCCCAAAATTTTGAACAGCAGTGTGTAGACCCTATATATATATATATATATATCGCAAATATATGCGTGCAAAAACTCCTCCCTCTTCTCAGGAAACAAAAGTGAAACTGATCTCCCTCTGCATTACAACTGCGTGCAAGAGATGGTGAGTGTGTCCAGCAATTGGTAAGCAATATGGCTCATTTAACGCTAAATCATATTAGCTAACCTATGCATTTTCCAAACCTCATGGATTTTTATTTAGTGTCTTATGCATGGCGTATTTGGTTCAAAATTTCAGATAGATAATGCTTTTGGCGCTTTTTATCTCCCGGTGTGTAGGCTATATAACGTTGCCTCACCTCTCTTTCCAAATCAGTGTTGTGAGTAGCCTACAGGTTTCTGTGTAGAGAGACACTTTTAATGAGCAGAACGTATAGGCTGTAAAAAACAGTGAAACCGGAGTTTGACCGGAAGTTCAAATGATTAGGTAAACAGCAAACAAGGCCTTGATAGGGCGTGTAAAAATGAGATGTCATGTAATTTTGTTAGAGAAACAAGATAACAATTAAACTCCGCACACCTGACGACAATAGATAGGTGCGTTGGAGGCAAAGACCAACCAGGTCAAAAAACTAAAAAGCAAAAAACAAATCCTGCACACTATCTATGCAAAAAATATCAAAATATTTATTGACTACGTTTCGGTCGCATGACCTTCATCAGGAATTTTTTTAACATGACATCACAAAGTTACGGAGCCCCTAAAGGGACATGGTTCCCTCATAGAAAGAAAATGCTTAATTAATAGACTAAAATAGTGGTATAAAAAGGCCAAATTCGGTATACAGTTTATTAATAAATTATACATGAAAGCAGGTAAGAACAGAAG